ATTGATTATACTAGAAAACATGTAGTTTACACACCAGTAGCAGAAATAAAATGTAAACTGAAGTTACAGATGCAGCAACTAAATTCCATTCAATCAAATCATGATTTTCAGATAGAGTATGCAAGTTAAAATTCAGATTTCTGTCACATATCTAACATTTCTCACTGAGAAACAGTTGTGCAAGCAGATGAGTAAGAACAACAGGAAGAACTTATCCAGCTAAATGTTTACTCAGAACTAACCCAACTAAATTCTTTAACAAAATGCTATGCAAAGATACCTCATGACTATCACAAAATTTGAAATATTTCTTTATATGGGCACCATCACGTTATGCTTTGGCATAAGCAAAGTTCAGCACTAGCAGAGGTACAATGAGTCTAAGGTTCCGTGAACATTATTTTTATTCATAAATACACACAGTAAAGCCAAAACCAGTCTTCAAAAGAATTACAATTTTACAGTATTGAATCTTTTTTCTATACACTTGATCTTGTCTGTCATTGTCAATGTTTCCTTATGGTCACCAAGTGAGTTCGTGACCATATGGAAACATTGACAATTTGGGAATTAAATTCCCCTGCCCTAAACTATGTAGATTCACCTGAGGATTATATAGAGAATTGTTTATGCTTATGTTTATATCACCTGAGGATTATATAGAGAAATGTTTATGCTTTCTGTGCAAGGCTGAGACCTGTGGTAGTGTGTTGTTAAGTTTCTTGTGTTATTCCCCCAATTTATGTATTGTTCTCCCCTATTATGTGTAAAATGGGTTCGTTCCCCCAGTTTTTTCCGCCAGTGCTAGCCTGTCAGCTAAGTTGCTATAGTAACCGCTATTCATAGTTGCCGATATGTAATTGCTCCTCCCCTGGTTTCCCTTATAAGTGAAAGTTGTTTCCTCCCTGTCCAGTCAATCACTCCCTTCCTCCTCCCAGGTTTCGAGAACCTTCTCCTCTCTGGAGATGGTGGTTGGCTGGGGTCCCAGGACACCTCCTTTACCTTTTGATTATTGGTTTCCATGGAGTGTCAGTTCTGTGAAGTTCATCCCCTCACCTTTCCCGATTGGTTCCGGCTGTACCCACCCCCCCTCCTTTATAATCCTGTTTTCACCCCCTATGAAAAAAACTTTTTCCCGGTTGGTTTCTGCGCGTTTGGATCCCACAACACCTTCAATAAACCGATGTTTAACCCCCGGGAAATGGTCAGCTCCGTTCCTCTCCAATATCAGCGGTGTAAGCCAGTCCGCAGCCAGCACAGCCCGAGGCCATCAGACGCCGAAGGGTGCTGGCCAGGAATTGCAGAGGGGCGTCGGCCTTTCACCCTCAGCTAGTCGGACTCTAAACTTCGGGCCACATATGCCCCCCTCTGCAGAGACCCAAGATTACAATACATGTGAGACGACAGTAAACTGTCAAGAATTAACAAGTGAGATAGTGATTCAGTGTTGCTTTTCTTCATGATGCTTTGTTTAGGCTATTGATGTGAATAGAGTCAAATTAAAGTAATGAAAAGACCATATTGGGATCTAAAGGAAGCACTATTAATGAGTACCAGTTTTGATGCACTTGACTTTCAGATTAATATTGTAATTTCAGATTAAATTGTTGTAACACTGTAAAAAAGTCTGGTTTTTTATTTTGCCTAAGCCCATGTGTTTGGAAAGGCTACAAGCCTACTCAGATCTTTCATCACAAGTAATAACATTTTTGACCGTAATATAATGGCAAGGAAGAAACCTTTTAGTAGTTTTATGTTTCACTGTGGAGTTTTTCTAATTTATTTTCTTCCCAACTTCTCACTACTTTCTTTCCCTGTTAGAGCTTTGCCTTCATTAGCTTCACTTCTGAAAAAAAATACATTGCCTTTGGATAACAGTGAAGGATAAGAAGGGCAGAAGCAAGGACAGAAGTCCTCGTCTACTGACATAAAGAAGGGGTCACAATAATGTTAAAATTACAATCTTTTAAAAGGTGATCAAACAAACCATCCAGAGCACAGAGGTTTGATACCATCATGAAATATTGTACTGCTACTCTGCTCTTCTCTTCCTATTCTTCATGTCAGCAGGAAACAGAATTCATAAGACTGTAGCCCTCTGAACACATCAGTAAGTTATAGTCTTGTCCCTTTCAGTCTCCTGCTGATTCAAATAACAGTAGCCAATAGAAAGAATAGTTCAAAGATCCTATGAATGACTGCAACAAATACAGAATCTTTGGGGTGATTGTTAGGTACGCCAAACCAACAAGCTTAACATGGTTGCAGTCTCCTTCAGATTTTTCACATTCTCAACTGACTTTAAGAAAAATTCTTTTCCCTCTGAATGAACAAGTGAACGCTGAGGGAGGACGAGTCTAGAATGTGGTTACACAAACTGAGGCAGAACTCATCCTTATCTTTGTTGTCTGCTCCTATTTCCCTCTGTCTTCCGACAGGTACTTTGGGGTTTAAACAAAAGGTAAACAGAAACTTGTCTTGAAATTCAGTGAAAATATTTTAATCTCCTTTTCTTCTGTAAAGTTTTAGCACAAGTAAGTGTTTCCATCTACAAAGTGTATGTGCTTTTGGTAACCCTATGTACCTTTTCTAATTCTTAACTCTTTCTTCACTTATCTTTGGCATATAATAAACATGTGTAAGGAATCTGTACCATTATTTGTATTTCTTCTGTAGACCAGTCCTAGTTCCCTTTTCATCCCACTTCATTCACTTTATCAGTAACTCAATTGCAGTATTTTTTCTATTTCCATTCAGCAAATTCTATGAGAGTAGAATTGTTGCATTATATCTCAAAGAAATTGCCTCAAGAATTAACTGGAAAGGTTTTCATCCCAGTTTTATTCAGCAAATCAACATTTGTTGAGTGTTCTGCCAATTCTCACAGGAGATCAGCACAAATCTCTAGCACAGGTGTTTCCAGGACTGGGATCTATTAGGAAAAGTATCTACCTACTTAACAGCTTATAACCCTTTTAAAGCCAAAACTGTCTCTAACATTTCTCTAGATCATCTTGAAAATACCTGTACATTTCTTGCAGGGGCCTTTGCCACAAATCTGATGATCTGGAAGTCAATGCAAATAATTTTATATGTTTCTAATTCTAAAGAGGACTTTACCTTGTGTACTTTCATTTGCTGCTTTCATGAGCACTTGACAGCCAGTTAACATAATCTTTAATCACACTTTACCTAAACAAATGACATATAGAAGTAGAGCTGGGTTTGTGTGATGGGGAGTCATTCTTATGTTAAAAACATAAGTCTATTAGTCTTATTTTCATTCATTTTAACACACCATTTTCACTGACTTATTCAGTTACTGCCAGTTCTAAGAGTTACTGCAGCACTGCTTAATAACAATGTGTGGTTTCTGACACTTATTTATAGAATACTAAAACCAAAGTCAGACTGGGTGGTAAGAGTTTTAGACCACCTGGGATGTGTTTAAACCTTCAGCAAATGTTTAACTGCATCAAGACCAGAAATAATCCCAAATATGCAGTCATCACACTAGTGGCTGATCCACTCTTTAAAATTGTGTCTCCATTTCAAAGAACTATTTTTCCCAAGTGTCTTTTTTTAAAAAATAGAAGTGGTTGATTATATCTTCATCAGTTAAGTGATGGAGAAATACTTGGGAAAACAGAAGTGCCTGGTAAAACTTCATTTTAAAGCAAGGCATGCATGGACAGCAAATTGATGGATTTTCCATATTTAATTTTCTTTCATTCACTTTCTTTGCCGTGTATCAAACAAGAACTGTACATTTCGTGTGAGACAACATCAGTTGATTCGTTTTAGAAGTGTCTAGTTGTAAGCCTAAAATATGCATCATGCATTAACGGTTTTAGGAAAAAATATATTTTCAAAATATTTTCAAAATCATTTTCAAAATGTGCACTTAGTAAGCATTCCCTAAGTATCTGAGTGGTGTTTGAAATTGGTAATTAGGTGATAGAGGATGCAACACCATGTTTAGTACCATGTTAGAAATCAATCCCCCTGTTCTTTCACCTGTATTGTCATTTTAATTGAAGGACACCATTTTCCCCTGTCCATCAAAGCACTGAAACATTTGCAGTCTCCTTGACTTTGGGGGTGCTATTCTTCATGGATCCCAAGTGAAACCTGCGCTCAGTGTTTCTGGCAGATCAGAGGGCTGCTGAGCAAGGGCAGCAAGGCAGAACCCAGTAGGGCCTCTGGTGCTGGAAATGTTGCATAGTAGTAATATAGCTTTTTCAGGTGAAATGGTTTTTGAACTTTTTAACCATAAATTTGAGTGAAAACAGAATTGTGAACTGCTTCATGTTCCTATTTTAAAAAGTGTAATTAAAATAAGAGAAAATTTGTAGTAACTAATTTTAAAAAGCAGAGAAACCAAAATCAGTTTGATACAGAAAGTTATCAGAGCAAGACACATCATTGATATGAGATGGAATAGATTCAGAATACTGAAAATTTCCTAATCAATTGAGGAACCTTCAATTTCTACCAGTCTATTTTCTAATTTCTAACAGTCTACTGGTGTTAAGCCCTCAATTGCAAGGGGTTTTTTATGCTGCCAGTAAAAAATGTTACTATGGAAAATTAGTGAAATTCTCACAAACCAAACATATCTGTAAATAAGTAGTTGATGGTTACTGTAAACTTTCTTGCCTATAGATTTTAAACTATGGACTAAATAGTTTAGGTGTTTGAAAATTCTTTGTCTGTGAAAGATTGTCAAACAAGCACTCATCTAACAGTCACATTATAGCTGAGATTTTCAAGACCGAAGAATTTCTTCTGGCGCCCAGTAAGGTAAAAGAGTGCCTGTTTGTCTTTATTAGAGGACAATAAAAGAAGGACAAGCATATTCCTGAAGAACAGCAGTACAGTAAATCTCTAGGATTTACTTTTGGTTATTTTCTTAATTTGGTTTAATTTAAGAAATGTAATCACAGGAGACAATAGCAAAGGAAAAAGCTGAATAATCTCAGATGTAACGTACTGTTTAAATTCATACTTTTCATGCAGGGTAGTTATAGTATCAAGGAAACACAGATGACATAAATACATTCTTTGAGAATTGTTCTTAAAAAAGAAAAAAAACAACCAAAAAAACCCCACAGACAACAATGTTGTTCCAGCAACAACCTTACTTTTAATCAAACACATTTTACTCTGCAAGCAGGAAGTCAATTTGATATTACAAATTTTTTTGCCAAGTGATGGAATGTGCAGTCATGCACCAGCAATTGAATCCGGAAATTCAGTTTGTCTGTATTTGACAAGAAATAGCTTTCAGGTTCAAGCATGCACTGTATTACAAGGGGAGGCACTTAAATAAATAAAGGGGAGGCCATGCATTTTATTCCAGAAGACTGAAATACATCTTGCAATGTGGGGTTTTGATGTTATTCATATGCTAACAATATACCATTTCCTCCAAGTGCTTGATACATCAGAATAAAAAGACATAATTTGCTGACATTGTGCTGAACACTTCCTGTCCAGAATACTGATCAATTGTCATTCAGCTTCCAAGGCAAATACACCCAAATTAGTCCTCAACATAACCTTTACATTACGCGTTTAACACGTAAAAATTCCAGTTAAAATAATTTTCCATTTTACAGAATAAAACAATGAAACAAAGACCATAACTGTGTTTTCACTCTGCTTCTAAAATGCAGTTCTAGTGCCCCAGGGACTTCTTTCATCTAGTGCAAATGCTGGCATATGATGTGATTGTTAACATAGCTGGCCACCAGATGAAGTAAATTATCTAAACTGCCAAGATTCCTACTTTCATTCCAATTTAAACATCAATTTAACACAGAAACTGAAGGGTATTATGAAAGCTTTAGTTTAAACCACTTCAGATAGGAAAAAGAATAAATGGATTTCTCAAGCCACCAAAACAAACAAATATGTAATTCATTGAACTTGAAGATGAGTTAAAAAATGATCAGTGCACAAAGGTATTTCTATCTAATTTACTTTATGCTAGTAAATTTGTACAGTGTACCCTATGCACCTTGCAAAACAGGAGTCATCCGCATGAATCCACCAGGGCATTATCCAGAAGCATTTGTTACTTCAAGTGGTTAAAAAGGGGAGCGTATTGCCAACAAGTATCTGGTTCCTTTCTCTAAGGGAAAACACTTTGAAACATATTTGAACTGTGAGATTGCCTGATTCAGGAAGATTTTTCTCCAGTTCAAACAATTTTATTACAGATTTCTTTCTGACAGTCATTTAATCTCCTTTTTTTTCTTAGCTCCTTCCTGCTCCATATGACACTAATGCTCTTGCCCCATTCAATGGCTGCCAACAAGGCTGTGAGCTCTTCAATACAGCAGCTCCCTTTGCAGTTGGTTTTACATAAGGTACTGGGACATCACCATGGCAAGGTCTAGGCAATCCAGGAGACAGAGGATATCTTCGTGGGTCACAGAGTACACACCCCTAGAGAATGGATGCGTTTCTAGATCTATTGGTCAGCAGTGTAAGCGAGTTAATTGAGGACATCAGGATTGGAGACAGCCTGGCCTGCAGGTGGAATTTGCAGTCCTCAAGCTTTCAGGTCAAATAAAGATATGTCCCTGAACTTTAGCAAACTTCTGTCTCATCAAGGAGACAGTCAATGGGATACCCTGGGAACTCTGGATAGATAGTCATCTCCAGAGGGTGGTGGTCAGTGACTCAGAGTCCCAGAGGATGTCAGTGGCAAGTGGTGCCCTCAGGGGTCTGTACTGGCACCAGCGTTATTTAACATCTTCATCAATGACATAGATGAAGGGATCAAATGCACCCTTAGCAAATTTGCAGATGACAACAAGCTGAGTTCCTTCAAGACTGCTGAAGGATAAAACGCCGGCCAGAAAAAGCTGGAAAATAAGTGGGTCCAGGAATTTCCATGTGGTTTAAGAACGCCAAATGCAAGGCACTGTCCTGTTGAGAAGGACTGGGGGGTGCTGGTGGGGGAGAGGCTGGGCATGACCCAGCCATGGGCACTCCCAGCCCACACTGCCAGATGTGTCCTGCAACCAAGGCAGGGTGGGCAGCAGGGTGAGGAGGGGATTCTGCCCCTCTGCTCTGCTCTGGTGAGAGCCCTCCTGGCGTGCTGTGTACAGTTCTGGGGTCCCCAGCAGAGGAAGGACATGGACCTGTTTTGACCTGTTTGAGTGACTCCAGAGGACAGCCAGGAAGATTAGAGGGATAGAGCACTTCTGCTATGAGGAAAGACTGAGTGAATAGAAATCATTCAGCCTAGAGAAGAGACAGCCTCAGGATGACCAAATTTTGGCCTTCTAGAAGGGAACTAACAGGAAAGATGGGGAAGAGATCTTTTGCAAGGGCATACAGTGACAAGACAAGAAAGAATTATTTGAAATCATTTTTGATTTAAATTATTTTAAACCTGCTCCCAGAAGAGGTTCAGATTAGATATCACTAATAAATTTTTGACCATGAGGTTGATGGGAAACCTGTTCCCAGAGAAATTGTGGCTGTCCCATTCCTGGTGTGTTCCAGGCCAGGCTGGATGGGGCTTTGAGCAATCTGCTCTAGTGGAAAGGGTCTCTTTCCACGGCAGGGAGTTTGTTACAAGACAATCTTTACATTCCTTTTAACCCCAACCATTCTATGACTCTATTCTGTTAGATGTAAAAAATAAGCATAGGTGGTATTTATCCATGCACCAAGAAGATGCTCAAACCTCAAAGTATGTGAGAGAACTCTGAAATATTCTGGGGGAAACAAAGCTTTTATAAAGAGAAGAGCCCAGCTCTTCAAGGACTTATGTGACTAGCTAGTGCTTCAAAAAGGGGTGACAAGTGTTAAGATGTGATTCCTTGTAGATGGTTTACAAAGGAGAAGGAAAAGAAATTAAATCAGCAAACGGACTCCATAATTCTAGTAGCTCTTTCTCCAGTACAATGGAGTCCTACTAGCCATGCAAAATTGAGAAAAATATGTTTCTAATGAGGTTAATCACAGAACACCCAATGGGCATGCATGCAGTTTTTTGTAATGCCTAAGTTTATTACCCAGGAGCATATATCATCTTTGTCCTCTAGTGGGAAGAAATGGTCTTTCTGCATTATTCCTGAACAGAGGAGTTTCTCAGTAAACAAGGCTAAGAAATTACCAAAGGGAAGGACATCCTTTGAAGAAAATTGTATTGTAATGATTAATGTATTTTGGCATTAACAAGACTGCAACAGATAAAATTTACCTGGTTTGGTCAATAGATTGCAAAAAGGATAACAATAAGATTGAAAATAGCTCCCAAAAATATTAAAGAATGTAAGGGTTTTTTCTACAATTAAAGGGAATGACACAAGTGAAAAACATAATGAGAGCATGAAATGAGGCCAACCTATAAAATTGACTAGATCACTAATTAAGACAAAGTAGTCCTTTTGGAGTTAAATGGCAGAGGTAAAAAAAAAGCATCATGTGACACAATTTATGTGAACAGTGTCTATATATGGAACAGAGTGCCACATCAAAGAGGTGGTGACAATCGCTTTGAAGAGATTTGACAATTTTGACAAGACAAAATTAGTCAACGTATCAGTAAATGATGTTTGTTTCACAATTCCGTAATTCTCTCTGCCAAGTAGGTACCAAAACATCAACTCTACAATGTAAGCAAAAAAAAAGCCATATCAGAAGGACAAACACATTACTTGTTATTCAGTGTTATTCAGACAACATGACTGTATCACCTGCAGAGACCACTTTGCAAATACTTCAGTGCAAGTCCAAATGTGTACATCCAAAAGATTGGATTTACACACTTTATCTGCCAGATCATTTCCATGCAAACATCCACACTTTTCAAAGTGCCTAAGATGAGACAAAGGAACTCAAAAAGTTAGCAGCATTTACACCTAATAACCAAAATTTTAGAACTAGTTCTTAGGGCCATCCTCCCAGTTTACTACTTAAATATAAACACAAGTATTGTCAGTGGAGCTTAGATCGGTATTTATAAGAGCAAGACAGTCTTCAAGAGAAGTTCCATCTTTGGCATTCCCACACAAGTGTTATGCAGCCTATAAATAAAGCCAATATTTTCACCACTCAGTTTAAGTGGCCTCTCCTGCTCAAGGGGTACTGATGTGGCTGGAGGAAGTGCTTGCTAAGACACTTTGAGAGGGAAGGGTCCAGTGAACTGGAGGTTAGCAAGCACAACCCCCATCTAAAAGAAGAGTCAGAATGGAAGGTCTGGCCTGTCAGCCTGACCTCAGTGCAGGGGAAGATCCTGGAGCAGACACGTTGAGAGCCATTGTGCAGCACAGCCAGAGGATCAGGACCAGCAAGTGCCAGTTTATGAAAGATGGGTCGTGACTGACCAAATTCTCCCTCTATGACACGGGGACTTATTTAATGGACGATAGAAAAGCTACAGATGACAGGCTATGGCTGTGTATACCAGGGCTTTGTTGTTTCCTTTGACTTCACTTCCCACAACACTTGCCTGCAGAAACTGGCTGCTCAAGGCTTGGACAGGGGCACTGGGTGAAACCTGGCTGTGTGGCTGTGCCCAGAGAGTGGAGGTGATGGTGCCACGTCCCATTGGCAGCTGGTCAACAGCTGTGTTGCTCAGTGTTGGGACTAGACTTACTTAATATCTTTATCCGTGATCTGGATGAGAGGATGGAGTGCCCCTTCTGTCACTTTGCAGGTGACAGTAGGTTGGGATGGAATGCTGATCTGCTGGAGGGCAGGAAAGTTCTTCAGAGGGATCTGCAGAGGCTGGATTCATGCCTGAGGGCCAGTGGATGAGGTTCAATAAGGCAAAATACCAGGTACTGTACTTGGGTCACAACAACCCCAGGCAGTGCTCGAGGGGCTGAAAAGCTGCCTGGTGGACAATGATCGGGGGCAACGGACAGCATTGGCTGAATTTCCCGGCCAGCTGTGCCCAGGTGGCCAGGAAAGCTGGCGGCATCCTGGCCTAGATCAGCAATTGTGCCACCAGCAGGACCAGGGCAGTGACCATACCCCTGTAGTCAGCACTGGCAAGGCCACACCTCAAGTCCTGTGTTCAGTTCTGGGCCATTTCTGGGCCAAGAAAGATGCTCAGGTATTCAAGTGAATCCAGAGGGCAACAGAGCAACAGAGCTGGTGAAGCTTCTGCTCTCTGCAGCTGCCTGAAAGGAGGCTGTAGCCAGGTGGAGGTCTGCCACATTTGCCAAATAACAGGTGACAGGACAAGAGGAAACAGCCTTGAGATTCTCCAGGGTAGGTTGAAACTGCATATTAGGAAAAATCTCTTCACCAAAAGGGTTCTCAAGCCCTTCAACAATCTGGGAGTCACCATCCCTGGAAGCAATTTAGAAGACATGTAAATATGGCACTTAGAGACATGGTTTAGTGTTGAACTTGACAGTGCAGGGTTAACCATTGGGCTCGATATCTTGGAGGTCTTTTCCAAATTAAATCATCCTATGATTCTATAAGAGTATTGAAAGAACAGATCTGTGCCCTGCAGTCACTTCTTAGTGAAAAAGAGAAGATGCAAGAGCAATACTTACCAGCTGTGGAGAACAAACAACCTGTAAACAGCAGCAAGCTGTCAAATAACTACTTGTTGGCACAACTATTTTTCTCTGACAAGTGTAGAGGGTAAGCCATCATTTTCAATTTGCAGAGATATAGCCTGGCACTTACATGGCATGGGTTTTTTTTAAGAATAGCTACAAAAGTTAGTAAACATATATTTTAAGCAAAATTATGGCACATAAGTAGGTTTTGTTCTTATTAAAAAACAACAAAAATCAAGATACTTCAGTAATAACCTGAGAAAGGAAAGGCTGGGGGAAGTATAGAGAATTAATAGAGAGAAAAACTTTGTCCCTCTCAGAAGAAGAGATGGGATGAAGTTGGGACAAGGCACAGAATTAAATACACCATACTAGACTGTGGATTGCATCAGAATGGATCTTTGATTTTCCTCCATCTCTCCTTTCAGAAATCTTATAAACATTTTGAGGGTTTTTAAATTCCTAATTGATGCATCCACAGGACATTTAGCCCCAGGAATAAGGCATGCATTGTACGGTGTTATCATGTACTATGTTATTTATTTTCACTAGTTAATGTAAAAGACATAAATCAGAAATTGATCATTTGATACTGATGCCATCCTACATGCAAATATTGCAAAGTTCTGACCTTCTTACCAATGTTCTTATTCTTGCTCTCACAATTTAAATGAATTAGTATTTTACCCTTACCTTATACACAGATAAATTTCCAGAGAGATGGGATAAAACAGTACTCTTAAACATAGTCCACATTCTTGTACATTTTCATCCTTCTTTTTCCGAATCACAACCTTACAGGTACGTGTGTGCATTTATATGTATTTGTGGTTCATAATTACTTTTTTAGTTCTTTCTTAAGGAAAATAGAGAAAAGAAAATAGAGAAAATTGAAAGACAAGTCACACAAAGCAAGGGCATGTCCTGGACATGCAACTACCATACAATCAAAGCTTGAAAAGTGTGGAAAAGTAGGTACAAAAAATTATGCAATATAGACAGGATGCTTCTTCTCTAGCACTCCTTTTCAACTTCCTGATCGTGGACATTCTGATCAAATACCAAGCTATTCACAATAGTTCCAAAAATGCTGACTAGGTTAATGCACAGACCTCAGCAGGACAAGGACTGTTGAGGATGATTGATTGAAATTCATAACACGTTGCAAAATGATTTCTTTGAGATAGCCAGTAGGGAACCCTTGTTTGTTGAACTTATTATTCATTCATGTATTCATGAAACAAAATACAATAAAAGCATAATCCCTCCATAGCGCCTGAATGATCACATTGAAATGAACCCAGAGCTTTGCAGTGCTAAGCAAGGTCTTTACTTTGCAACAGAACAGTTTTATATTGCAATATCATTAGCTGTGCCTAGAGTTTACATTATACTTACAAATCAGCAAGGGAAATTTAACCTGCACTGTAATCTAAGGTTATGCTGAAAATCAGATATTAAAAATACACACGCATAATAACAACTGCTTATGGGACTTTTTTATTTCCTCCTTCCTAAATGATTTAGCAATTACTGTGTTGAAATGTAACTAAGACTGTGAATCTGCTTGCATTTTGGCAACTAAAACATGGGTCACAATAAACACAGGAATAATAAATACACTTTGGTGATTTGAAAATTCTTAAAGTAAATCAGTAACAGGAAAATTGAGTTGTCAAACCTGTTATTTGAAAAAAATTACTGACAAGGTTTGAATCAGACTTTCCTGTGTTTGAAATACTGATACAATAAAGGACTAAAATTTAAAAAGAAAATCACTGTAAAATGATCCAGCACCGAAAGTGTTTATATTCACAAATATAAATGGGATATTTATAAATCTATTGTACAGAATGCTGCAAAGCAATGCTTGATTTTACATTCCTTACTAAACTTTCCTGTTGCTTCTCTTTCTAAACTAAATATTTGCATGTTTATATTCAACTTGAGCTAGTTTTGCATTTTATATTCACATTGTATCTTATCCTGAGAAGAAATATATTTACACACTATAGGCATTGGGTTTTGCATTACTGATTTCCACAATTTGCCATTCATTTTCAACCACAGTAGATGCAGAGCCACTTGGCAAGGCACTGTTACTGACCTTGCTGTTGTCAAACTGTTTTGCTAAACTAAGAGGACTTCTGGAAATCATCCTGACAAATTGTTTCCTCTTGCTTCAAAAGGAATCCTCCCTCCTCTCTGCAAAATGCTTATAACTTGTGATAGAAGGATAAGGAGTCCTTGACTTTGAAAGGTCTAGGTCAGCTTTTTGTTGAATTCTTCCTATTAATTTTGATCAGCTAGACCAAAAAAGTAAAAAAACCCCTTGATTTAACAAAGTATATCTAGCTGCATAAACGTCATTCGATTTTGGAGGAGATAGAGAAAATAATTAGGCCCAAACATAATTTCCCAAAGTTAAAGTTAACCAGATGGGTAGATATTAATCTCAGCTCTCAACATGAAAGTTGAAGGATCCCTGTAGTTGATGGGACACGTAGCTGATTGCCTTTCAGAAAAACTTCTTTCTCTTGCATTAATCTGCGTTCTTACTCATTGAAGTGGGAAAAGGACTTTAGTCAGTGAAGGCCACGTGAGCTCCGTTCAGCTGGCAAAGAAGGGAGATGGATCCCAAACCCCATGAGAAGCTTTCAGGAGTAGAAGGTGTCACTTTCCTGTGATCCAAGCATAAGGATTTGCAGGATGCATCTCAGCAAAGGAAAAAGCATAGTTTGATCTCTGATTTGATGCACTTGCACAGCATAAGCCTGTAATCAAGAAAGATTTCAGCCTTTTTGAATAAACAGCAGCCTAAGACTTGAACAGAGAAAAGAACTTAAGTTTGACTTCAAAGTCATACGTCAATGAGGTTTAACATAATGCACAATCTCACTTAATGTTTTAAAGAGTGTTGGGCATTTTTACTTGGAAAGATTTAAATATTCCCTTTTATTTACAGTTTAGGTCTTGACCTGTTGTAACTCCTGGAAAGCACTATGTTGTGTTGATGCACAGAAAGATTAATTTTGATGCCTCAAAGACAATAGTGTTTTCCAGATAATGGTGAAAAAAGGGGGTTTGAAAGAAACTTTTCTTCAGTTGGGAAACAGAGACAATTGTTATCAGCTTGTTATCACTTCACCAACTACTTCTGAAATAACGCCTTTTTTTTTTTTTTTTGCATTCTTCTACATGTTATTAATGGTATAAGCTATAAGGCAACAGAAAATCTAAAAGTATTACAGGCAACTCTACACCAGCTAACAAGACATTTTGCTAACAAGTCACTTAACAATAAAGCTTCTGAGGCATTGGGGACATATAAAAATGTTATTTCACATGCAATACCATTACTTCAAATGGTGACTCTGACTTGAGTCAAATTGGAAATTTTCGAAAAAGTAAATCTAGTTAACAAGCTTATAAATAGCAGAGATAAAATTAAAAGGATATTATTTCAGTCAAATAGAACTTGTAAGATTCTTGCATTAGAATTAAATGGAAACAGGAATGAAATCAATTTTCTGAAACTTATACATAACGTCTTACGAGTTTCTCTTAACAGAAAACAAGGTCTTTGAATGACAGAATGGGAGAATCTTTCTTCAGCTCAATAGTTTATGTCCTCCACCATTATTCTCATGACAAGATCTTTTTCTCATTATCAAGGATGGGAAATCTTTCATGCCAGTGTATATAACACAGAAGTAAATTCTTACACCTGAGTAGTGTACCTACAAGGCAGAGAATGCTGCTAGGCAGAGAAGGTAGCTCCGTTTGCAGCAATTGTATTCACCCTGAGAAGAAGGACTAACTGGCTCAACAGTACTGATGAAACACTATTGATGCAGCTATAAAGTTTTCAGGACTTTAATCAGCTCACTTATTTTTGCTGAACACCACACTGAATTGTGTATCCTAACATCACAAACACAAATGTGGAATACACAAACACACACACCAGAGCCTTTCTGGGAGGAGCTTTCCTTTTGAAGGAATCAAATCCCTTCATTCTCAGACTGCCCAATCAGGCTTTTTGAAGTATCACTCTCTTAAAGAGGTACTTTTTTGAAGCACCACTGTCTTAAAGACAGATCCCTCCCTCTCTCCTGTCTTAAAAGACGTTGAATACCTACACAAGACAGTCAGATGCAAGCCAGTCATGTTCTAAGCCAAATAAGACCTCAAAAAATTAACCTTATTGTTAACCTCACACTGAAGCTATTTCATCCAATCCCTGCCTATGTAAAACTCCTGCTTAACTGCTGTACCTCACACCCTGTGGTCATTGTGCTTGCATTAATCTAAACAAAGATAACTTGAGCTAATTAACCAGCAACAGCTAATCATATGCATATATTACATGGTTGCCTAAATTTTTATCCTATTCCATCTTCGGGGGTTACCATATACCATTTCCTATATCAAATGCTGACACCAGCAGAGAGATCTATGATGGTTAAGAAGAAGTGATAAGTTAACATTTCAGACAATAACTGTCTGCTTCAGGAACTCTCCCAAGTGCCACTTTGAAAGACTCCTGCTAGATTTTCTAATTATCTCATTTTTGTATATTCATTCATCTCTAAATGATCTTTCACATTCCTAGTCAGGTAAAATTGGGCTGAATGTCAGAAAGTGAGAAGATATCTAAAAAAGACTATACACCCTGTAAAGGCAGCTTAGGAAAGCACTTGAAGTGCATCTTTCACTCACACGGTGGAGGCCTGGTCAATGGCCACCTACAGCCTATGGGGGTCTATGAATTTCAGAAATCTTGCTCATTGATATTAGGAAAAAAGTTTGCCCTGTTTAACTCCCAGTTGTTACTTATTGCAAACACAAACACCAGCTCAATGCTCAATTCAGCCATTACTAAACTTCTTAACTTTTTACAAAATTATTCCAAACAACACCTGAATGTGACCCAAGAGCAGAGATATTAAGATTTAAGTGTTTCAGAGCAGCAGTCTTTCCTGCTCATGCCCAAGTATCTTGCACTCAAATTTCAACAGGGTGTGAAAATTACTGTGATTAGACAAGTGTAAATCCCCATTTTCGTGTGAAGTTCATTTTAAGATCAAGGTTTCAGTGAGTGTAGCCATGGCAATTTTATTGTAGCACTCTAATATCCAAACTGTTACCATGGAACCCAGTTACAAAGACTGGGACAATCAATTCCAATTATAATAGTTAAATGGTCATGACTTAAATTGTACAAATGGCAATTTTCATACACATATTTGAATTAAATAATTCTATTTATTGAGAACAGAGAAAGTTGTGCTTAGCATTGTAATACCAAGGCATGTCATTCAGGTTATAATGATATAATTTGCGCTGATATTCACACATGCTACTTTTCTTTTTCGTTTTTTATCCTATATTCAAGTGCCATTCAAAAGGTAGACTCCTGCTGTCTTTAAAGATCAAAGAAGCCAAGGAAATTACATCCAATCTGATCCTAAGCAATCAAATGTTCATATGTTCAATATTTCAAAAAGCAAACACATCAGCACCAACTGGAATTGGATTTTACAAGGTAATTTTTTATCTGGAAATCAAATAATAGTACAATTAAATTTCCCTCTTCGTTGATTTTGGAATAAAGCAGAAGAAAAAGAATGGGTCAGGACAATCCGAAGATATTTTAAAATATAGATTTGGGTGTTATTACAGAAAGAACAAGAATAAAAGGTAATTTTAACTTTTTTCTTGATTGGAAGCAAGAAGAAAGAGAATGAAATAGCAGACTAGGCAAAATAAGTCTCCTTGACTTAATCCTTCCTTCTAGCTAGGACAGGAGACACTGAATTCTTTATTAGCACATATCTAATATAATGTCAAGTGGTCAGAGAACCAAATATTGCAGCTACTTCAAGGGTATCATTGTTTTGTGAACTCTGACAAGAAAACAAGAATAGAGAATATCTGCCTCAGCCAAGCAAGTGAAGCATTCTCCACTCACAGTCAAAGATATTTTGGAGCCCAAACATTAGCTACACTTACTGCTCATTTGGACAAACAATCAAAGCATGCAGAAATCAAACAGCGGGTTGTTTATTACGTGCCATCTGCCACCAATGTGACATAAACTTGGACAGCATGATCCATTACCGCTTGTGCAACAATAGCATGGAAGTGTTTACTGGCAGAAAGCTTTTATTGAGAAAGTGAGTTTATTTTGCAATTGTTCAAAGAAGATTCCAACTTGCTTATATAATTTCTCGGGCAAATGTGTCCATCGAGTGCCTGAAGTCCTATTCACCTGGAAAATCAAATGTATGACAAGAACAGAAAAACTTATACAACAGCATGACCATTATGCCTCTGCAAAGTAAAAACAAATGCCTGCAGTAAAAAACCCCACACTGATTTAAGCACTGCTGTCAACATTTGCTTCCTTTAGGCCCTACGGACCAATAGACTCTTATGGGGAAGCAAATCTGGGTCTTACAGACAGGCAGAGCTCCTGCTACTGATTATTCACAGTAGGGTCCCCAGAAACTTTTACCACATTTCATATTTTTCAATTTGAAAGAATCCACGGCTTATATTGAAGCCTCCTTTCTCACAGAAATTCAATCTATCAATAAAAACAGAACATCAGCACAAAAAACCCCACAACCATTAAAACCTCACATACAACAGAAAATCAACCGTTCAGAACTGAGAACTGACTTTTACTTCTGACTTTCCCTTCAGTGTTCAGTAAATTAATATATGACTGTCCACCTGAGAAATCATTATGCACCAATATTGTCCATAACAACAAAACAATACCATTCACTGATGTGAAACTAAGCGGGAAACCTCTCTAACAAACCATCTCTGTCACAACCTCCTTTCTCTTAATGGCAAAATGTGTAGTTTGCTTTTAGGATAAGCAAATGACAAAAAGGAACAAAGCTTGACATATGATTAATTGTTACAGTAATCAATTATTCATTTATTTAAGGTGCTTTTTCCATCTACTTGAACAGTAATATGAAAATTAGTGTCTTAAAAGTTAATGCTATACTAATGGGAGGGGAAAAAAGAAAGGAGCAGAGAAGAAATAACACTGAATCAGGAGAGACCTGAAAATTCAGAGATCTGGTTCAGGAACCTACTGATGTTGGCATACAGTCTACAGTACTATGATGAATTATATTCATTCCCCTACTCTAAGAGCAAGGAGGACAACAAATAACACATTTACAATAATAAGCGTTTCTCAAGTCTAAAGAACTTGAAAGAATGTCACTGATGTTTCTGATTTGTAACAAAAGAACCTCAACCAATTAAAGACTATTACATTTCATTCCAAATTGCATCATATCAAATTTCACTTCCATACCAAATATCTTCCTATTGTTCTATTGTTGTCCCAGGCAACCTGTGACCGGATGAGAGGACACAGTCTTAAGCAGTGCCAGAGAAAGTTTAGGCTAGAGATCAGAAAAAAAATTCTTTACAGAAAGAGTGGCTGGGTATTGGAATGGGCTGGCCAGGGAAGTGGTGGACTTACTGTCCCTGGAGGTGTTTAAAAAAAGCTGGATGTGGCACTCAGTGCCATGGTTTAGTTGATACAATGGTGTTAGGTCAGAGGTTGGAGTTGATGATCTCCAAGGTCTTTTCCAACATAATTTATTCTGTGATTCCATTATTCCAGAAGAAGCAGCCAGAAACTATATCCATGTCTGATGGAGCCAATGCCAGCCTTCTCCAAGCCAAGCCCCTCAGTGACAGTGGCAGCACCTCTTGGACAACAGATTTAGGAAGGGGA